TGTTATAATACCACTGACAGCTGACCGTGGAATATTTAGTGGCAAGGAAATTTCACAGAAAACCTAAAACCAAAGATTTGGAGGGGTGTCCCAATACTTTTGGTAATATAGTGAGTGTGTGTGCAAAAAATATATTATTTTTTGTTTCTTTTCGCAAGAAGGTGTTGTAGGTGGATATGGGGGTCTGGGTTGGGAAGTGAGGGGCAGGTGCTCTAAGCGGGAGGGTTGTGGGGGCCCCTATATGAAAATCTTGCCCAGGGCACAACTATTATTAAAGATGGCCCTGCAATCAGTAGCTGAACACAATTAAGCAAGCAAATTTTGCAGCTGCTCGCTTGGGTCGATTGGAGGGGGGTGATATAATGGGGGGTGCAAAATTATGTTTTGGTTTTGCCCCGAGCAACCGTAACTCTGGTTATGCCACTGCCATCAAGTCAGCAGGGGGGGCCCGAACCCAGCACGGGCTACCTGTAGTGAAGGAAGATGGTCTGACTACTTGCCCTGGTAACCAGTTGATTGGCAGGCTCCTCCCTTCCTTCCCTACAGGGACCGGGGCTTCTCTGCATAGAAGGAGAGTAGTCTGTCAGTCAGGTTGTTACCATGGCGAGTGGGTGGAACCATCTGCTGGGCAGACCTATCAGGGTCCCGTGTGCAGATTAACTGCTGGAAGGACCGGTGACTTTCAGCACATTTGGCTCCGTCCCCTGCAGCACCCACAGCCCATGGTATCAGGAGCGGGAGTCCTACCATGAAGTACACTGCAGGGGGTGAGCAGCTTAGAAGAGACTAGCAGTGTAAGGTGTGGTCAGCAGTGCAATATGAGGGATGTAGATGATGTGGAAGTTACCAGTGCTGGAAGAGGGTGGCAGCCATCAAATTCTCTCCCAACACTCCTAACTTCTGTACCCTCTGCATCTCTTTTCCTACAGTGTTTACCTGTGCACCCCTGCCAAGCAGTGTAGGAAGGGGGGGGGGGTTTAGATGCGATAAGCATTAGAAAAGGGATGCAGGGGGTGCAGAGGTGAACAGTGTAGGAAGAGGGATGCAGGGGGTGCAGAGGTGAGCACTGCAGGAAGCGGGATTCAGGGGTGCCGAGGTGAGCAGTGTAGGAAGAGGGATGCAGGGGGTGCAGAGGTGAGCAGTGTAGGAAGAGGGATGCAAGAATGTATTTGTGGGTGGGGCTAGTATATGGGTCGAGAACAAGGGGCCCCATAATCTTTTATTGCCCAGGGGCCCCGTGTGTTGTCAGTTCGCCCCTGGGTACGATTCGCTGTAACAAATGCTTGAAAGACTGGGGAGGATGGACTACTCCACCTGGCCACACACTCAGTGCTCGATTCCAGCATCCACCCTACACAGCATGCATAAGGGAATTCCCTCTTTTTTTTAACATCAATTTTTACAGAATGGAGGAGCACCAATGGGGAAACACACTGCTCACATTTGGCAAGACTTGGGTCAAAATTTTAGCAGTGTCCCGCCAGCTTTAAGGAACATGTCACTGCTTTATAGGTATGGGCACAAACACCATCCCACAGCAGATCAATGCAGCCTAGCAGTCCTTCTACTCCCCAGAGTTTGTAAAAAGAACCTCCTGAGCGTTGTAATCATCTTCTACCAGTGGCATCTCACATCTTTTCACATGGAACATATCCTAGGTAACGTATTTCTCTCTACGCTCATTACATTACATATAGGATAATATGTTATGGTCAGTGAGCGAGCAAAAAAAACAAACCTTAACCTTGAACCTTAAAAAACATGCAATTCAATATTAGGTCACATCTCTAATCGTGCCAATATAAGGTTTAACACTTATAAGTTTCCACTGCTGACAGCCTTCTAAAATATCTAATTGCCGGGCTGTCTCCAGCTTCAATACTTTGAGATAATGACTCAGGGCAAGCATGCAGATCATGAGGGCCCGTTCACATGAGATCAGGTCCTGATCAGGTGCGGATCTGCAGACTGATGCAGTGCGTTTTTGCTGCGTTCAAGTAAAAAAAAAAAAAACACATTTTTTTTGCTGGAGTGGGGCTGTTAGTATGTTAGCTGCAGTGCAGTGCGTTTTTGGATGCGCTTTTGACGCGTTTGCGTTTCCGGACCTTACAAAATGTGACATGCAGTATTTTTTTCTGTCGTAAGCTGAACAGACTGCGCACGTGAGAACTGGAGCCCATAAAACACATAGGGATACATTGGGATGCATTTTGAGTGCAGCAGCGTACGGAGCCGGTCAGCACACAAAACAGACGTCGTGTGAACAGGCCCTGAAAGTCAGAGCTCCTTACCTACATGCTTGTTCCAAGTCAGTGACTTATCACAAGCATGTAGACAAATTGGATTGGACTTAAGTGGACAGCCAGGGAGCTAATATTTTAAGAAGGGTGGCCAGCAATGACAATCCCCATGTCTTCTTAGTACAGGTTCTCTTTAAGATCATCTGCGCTTTATTCAACTGCAGTGTGTATAGGGATGTGTGTATGGTTAGTAGTCAGGGTAGCTGCATAATAGCTAAATTCTCCAAGAAAAGGGGCAATATCTGTCATATCCAGATCCCATGATTTTTTTTTTTTTAGGGTATACTCAATATTATTACTAATGTTCACAGGAAATGTAAAGTTTGACCAGAAACAGATCTGAGATGAAATCACCAAAAGATAAGGTATGAGTGGTTTATACCAAAGTTTGTGCACCAAACTTCTAATGAAACATGGTGTTTGTAAGCCTGCAAACTACAGTTAAACTACTGCTATGGAGATTCTTATCTGAAACAGTTGAATCAAGATTAGAAGACTTTGTATACCACAATATCCAGTGTACAACTCAAGACACAAGCTTACTTCAACTACCATATATGATGCATATGTGATAAATAGGATTCCTGATTCCCTGATCTGACCATTCTCGGCTGGTTCAGGTTACAATCACCTCATGTCTATGGGTATTTGAACACATAGTAAAAGATCCTGTATAATGGCAACATGTTTTACAGTCATTCTAGATACAATATAATAGTTGTGTGAAAAAGTGTTGGCCCCCTTCCTGATTTTTCATTGTTTTGTTAGTTTGTCACACTTTAAGGTTTCAGATTATCAAAAAATTTACATATTAGTCAAAGATAAACACAAGTAAACACAACATGCAGTTTTTAAAGGAAGGTTATTATTAAGGGAAAACAAAATCCAAACCCACATGGCCCTGTGTGAAAAAGTGTTTGCCCCCCTGTTAAAACATAACTTAACTCTGGTTTATCACACCTGAGTTTCATTTCTCTAGCCACACCCAGGCCTGATTACTGCCACACCTGTTCGCAATCAAGAAATCAATTAAATAAGACTTGACTGACAAAGTGAAGTAGACCAAAAGATCCCCAAAAGCTACACATCATGCCGAGATCCAAAGAAATCCAGGAACAAATGAGAAAGTAATTGAGATCTATCAGTCTGGAAAAGGTTATAAAGCCATTTGTAAAGCTTTGGGTCTCCAGCGAACCACAGTGAGAGCCATTATCCACAAATGGCGAAAACATAGAACAGTGTTGAACCTTCCCAGGAGTGGGCGACCAACCAAAATTACCCCAAGAGTGCAGCGACGACTCATCCAAGAGGTCACAAAAGACCCCACAACAACATCCAAAGAACTGCAGGCCTCACTTGCCTCAGTTCAGGTCAGTGTTCATGACTCCACCATAAGAAAGAGACTGGGCAAAAATGGCCTGCATGGCAGAGTTCCAAGACTAAATCTGCTGCTGAGCAAAAAGAACATAAAAGCTTGTCTCCGTTATGCCAGAAAACATCTTGATGATCCCCCAAGACTTTTGGGAAAATACTCTGTGGACTGACGAGACAAAAGTTGAACTTTTTGGAAGGTGTGTGTCCCATTACATCTGGCGTAAGAGTAACACCTCATTTCAGAAAAAGAATATCATACCAACAATAAAATATGGTGGTGGTAGAGTGATGGTCTGGGGCTGTTTTGCTACTTTAGGACCTGGAAGACTTGCTGTGATAAATGGAACCATGAATTCTGCTGTCTATCAAAAAATCCTGAAGGATAATGTGCTCTGTTCGTGACCTCAAGCTGAAGCCAACTTGGGTTCTGCAGCAGGACAATGATCCAAAACACACCAGCAGGTCCACCTCTGAATGGCTGAAGAAAAAACAAAAAGAAGACTTTGGAGGGGCCTAGTCAAAGTCCTGACCTAAATCCTATTGAGATGCTCTGGCATGACCTTAAAAAGGCGGTTCATGCTCGAAAAACTTCCAAGGTGGCTGAATTACAACAATTCTGCAAAGATGAGTGCACCAAAATTCCTGCACAGCGCTGTACCAGACTCATTGCAAGTTATTGCAAACGCTTGATTGCAGTTCTTGCTGCTAAGGGTGGCCCAACTAGTTATTAGGTTTAGGGGGCAAACACTTTTTCACACAGGGCCATGTGGGTTTGGATTTTGTTTTCCCTTAATAATAAAAAAAACCCTTCCTTTAAAAACTGCATGTTGTGTTTACTTGTGTTATCTTTGACTAATATTTAAATTTGTTTGATGATCTGAAACATTAAAGTGTGACAAACGTGCAAAACAATGAAAAATCAGGAAGGGGGCCAACACTTTTTCACACAACTCTGTCACTTTATGATTTAACAGATCTATAACTGTAAGGATAATGTAATTAACAAAATTTGCTTTGCTTCTATTGGCACCAATATAATCCGATGACCTTGCAGCGGTGCATCTATGCTTTGTCACTTCCCTATTACACATACTCTACGTCACAAACATGCAGAGAAGTCTTCTGCTTTATTAATAGCTATATCATATTTGGGAAACTAAGATATATCAGTTCAAATCACTTTCTTCAGAAATTTCAGATTTTCTTGGGTCATAAGTAATCATATACATTGCACTAAACAAATTGTGATGGTACTATCAGTCACATTAGCGTGCATGTATGTGTATTCAACAGATATGTATGGAAAACATGTCACACATAAGCATCTCACCAAAAGGCACCAGATCCAGTTTTATTACATTCAGAAACAAAAAGATCCTAAATAAAAAAAAATATATAAAACAGGTAGAGTACTTTGGAGACTGAACACACCTGGTAGATAGGCTCCTGGAGTGTATTTGGGTACTGAGAGGTTGGAGTTCCCCCATGAGGCTATGGATAATTGCAGTTTTGGAGTGAAGGAAGGAGCACAATGTTTTGTTACAGTTCGGGGAGAAGAAAGACTTGAGACTGCACTGGCTGTACACTGCCTTCCTCTGCAGACAGTCACTTTCAGCGGGGCATGTGATCAGAAGTCCTATTGTATTCCACATGCGGACTGCAGAGAAGGCATGGGAGTCAGTCCAGGCAGGTCTCTTGATTGTCAGGTGTAAACCCTTGTCTAGCATAATCTGTTCTGAGCAGCAGAGATTCTCTGTGAATCGATGCAGTCTAAGCCACAACGCCATGTAAAGAAAGTTCAAACTGATACTGATTTCAGGTACCTCATTCTGGCGTGTGTATATAGTGTCCTTTGAAACCATCTTGTGAAGCAGACCATTACCTAAAGTACTAATAGTAGGTTTGCCAGGGGATCAAGACACAGACATAAACACACGCACTTGGAGCTTAGAATACCTCTTACATGAGGTGCACAGACATCAGATCACATGACAAAGCAGGGCTGTAACACCCTCTGCTCATAGTAATACAGCAATAAAGGGCACTGTATGGAGTGGAGATCAAGAACAGACCCACAGTACAACGGAGAGACTGAGTTAACGGGACAATGCACGACTGTGTCACAAAACACAGACAATTTATAGCACTGACTGAGTGATTATACCCTGGGATACCACTATTACCTGAGGGCAATGGAGACAGGAAATACAAACAGTCGGCACTGTACATGTGCACAGCAATGTGTGTGCACATACACTCAATAACACATACACAGGTGCACGTACACACAGGATTTTTCTTTCTCTCTGCCAATCTGTTCAGTGAGGTCTTGACAGCATGTCTGAACAGTAGCAGTGGAGTGAATTTTCAATGTCAACGGAAAGGGCTCAAGCATGAGCTTCATCAACATCTTTAGACTCTGGCTTGTAGATTGGTGCTCTCTGCTCTTTGGTTTCTTCACTGACATCATCATCTTTGCTATCTGTCTGAGGATATACGACCACACAAAGCTTTTGGCCTGCACGTGTCATTGCATCTAGGGAATAAAAATACAGAAAGATAATAAATTAAACATTCTAACCATTAAACCAGAAAACAAATTTTACAGAAGCTCGATACTTGCGATATGGGTAGTCATCCTACCTCCTAGCATAAAGGGATATAAAAGCATTTTCACATATTGTGGATACCTCAGGTGGTATATTTTTCTAAATTGCTTCCTTCCTCTCCATATTCCACAACACATCCTACAACATTGGATTGTGAATTCTTATTATTCGTAGATGTAGAATTAATTGATCCAACATGTACATATGCAGGGCAAAGAGAGGTCTTCCACATAGCTCCAGTTATTTTATAACTTCCCAATTCATGTTCCTGACCATGTAATGGAGATAAAGTGAAGAGGACTAATTTGTAGTCCAGATCAGGAAGCAGACAAGGATGGCAACGCTGCTTCTCCATAGATGCAGCGGAGTGAGTGAGCATAGCCATTCTAGGTCAGAAGGTGTTATTCCCAAGATTACCAGGTGAAAAATGTGTGGGGGGGGGGGAAGCATTTAAAAAATAAATCTAATACAGCCCCCACATCTAAGGACTGATAAGCTGCAACATATACAATTATTGTTTTGTTTTTAGATGCACTAAGATCTGAGACTCAAATATAATATTCAAGAGGAGCAATGTCCCTACATTAACTGCCAATAATTATCCAGTCCAGGGCCAAATCACCCACAAGATGACCTAGGCAGGTGGTGGGTGTCTGCCTAAAGGTAGAAGAGTCTGCGGGCCTCCAAAGTGATTTGGCCAGCTATACACTGAGTGGCCAGTTTTTTATGACCACCTGACGTTTGTAGGCAAATTAGCTATAATTTCGCGCTGAAGTTGCTAGAGGGCCAGACCATTATAAATAGGGAAGTAGGTTGTTTACCACGACAGTAGAAGTGATTTTTTTTCTGAACATATGGGGAAACAACGCGATTTAACCGCCTTTGAACGTGATTGTTGGCGCGAGCCATGGAGCGAGTATCACCAAAACAGCAGAATTTGTTAAATGTTCAAGAGCAGCTGTTGTTAAAGTGTTTAAAGACTGGACTGTCAGCTGAAAATCTGGGTCTGAACGTGCGAATTGTGGCCGTCAGCGACTAGTCAATGTTAGGGCAGAACGGAGAGTGGCAAGACTGGTACAAGACAACAGAAGGGCAACAGTGCAGTGTCAGATTCCTCGCATCACCTTTCAACATCTCGTGGAGTCACGAGGCGGCCCAACGAAGTCATCTCGTGGAGTCATCTCGTGGCCCAACGAAGTACTGATGGGGTGGTCATAATAATCTGGCCACTCAGTGTATAACCTCTCATTTACTTCTGCCTAATTCTGGCCAAAAGCAATCAGCAGGCTCCTCTGTGAGCCACTGAGTGCTGCCAGCAAGTTCTGGATGGAGAACAGAAGTCAGGAGATTGGAGAACTAGTTTCTCCATTTTGTTTTCTTTAAACATAATCCAGAAGTACTCTCATCTGAGCACTTCGAGGCTTTTAGAATACCAGAACAGTGGTCAGGTTAGCTGCAGATTGGGGCAGTTAACATTAAACCTTGATCTACATGCAGTACAGGTAGAAAAGGCATCAGTGTCACAAAGAAAATCAGCAATCTTTCCCACTAAGAAGGAAAGACGTTCTTGTTGCAGTCTTATGTACGTGAAAAAGAAACTGCACTTTTCTTTTCAACTTATGCCCATTCTTCTAAGTGATATGTCTACTTCTGCAGGATTTGATGCCTCCAGATATCTCCTAAAGGTGTTGAGTTCTTCCTCACCAACAGCCATAATTCATACCGACTAGCAGTAATTAGCTTAGAGCAGTTTCACTTTTTACCCATGCTCATTTCCTGGAGAATCACCAACAGTAACCAAGTGATAATATATCTTGATGAAGGCTCTAAAACACCCATTCACAATGCCTGATATAACTACAATGTTTATCCTTCGCATTGCACATATACTCTCATACTAAACCAATGACATTTAAGGTACAAGAAAAATACTAAAATCAACCCTGCTAAGAAAGACATCACTCAGATCCAAAGTGGGTACAAGTAAGCTATTGTGTGAAGGGAAGCAAGATTAAAATGAAATGTCAACTCACCAACAAAGTTATTGAAGCACTGGGGCTTGTTTTGCCAGTGGACTCCCAAGAAGTAGACAGGAACCCCAGTAAGCATGATAGCCAAGCCGATGCCACAGACAATGGGCTCAGACCATAAGCTGAAGACAAGCAGGAAAGCCCAGAACAGGAGGTAGATTACTGGGAAAATTAGATTAATCTGTCAAAGAAAGAGGGTAATTATTGTAGACAAAGTTATAGAAAAACAGGGCTTTTGTTCTTTCGTTCTTTTCTTATTAGAATATCATGCTGCTTATCACAGATGCTCTTTAAGATACACAAAACTAGCGTTTAGCTTCTATTCCTCTAAATTCTTACAATCTCACCGACCTAATATCTGTACATTTTGTTTTAGGGATGCACCGATATATCGGCCGCCGAAACATATCGGCCACAAATGGCACTTTTGGCTAATGCTGAAAGTGCAATTTTTCTGCCGATATAGCGTTGCATCCCTGCTTTCTCTCCTCCCCGCTGTGGGCTGCTCTGTGTCCCAGCGGGGAGGAGAGAAATTGTCACAGGCGGCCGAGGGCACTGTGAGCGGCCAGCATCTCTTCCCCCCCACCGCTCAGCCTCCTGTCACAGATCGGCAGAGCGGTGTGGGGGGAACAGCCAGTGCTGTCACAGGAGGCTGAGATCTCCTCCCGCACCGTTCGCTCAGCCTCCTGTGACAGCGTGTCAGGATGGAGAGTGGGTCCAAGCAGTTAGTGTTTGTAGATAATTAAGGACAGAGTATGTTGACTATATCCTCAATTATGAATGAATGGGAAGTGATCTACATCACCTCCTGTTCATTAATGATTATGGACACAGTAAACACACTATGCCCTCATGTTATGAATGAAATATAAAAAAGTTTCAAAGTTTATAAAAAATAAATAAAATATTTGAAAAAAAATATGTGAAAAAACATTTTTGGTTTCGGCCTAACATGCATCATTTGGCTTTCGTTTTGGTCATAACATTTTCATTTCAGTGCACCTCTCATTTTTTTACTAGACAAAATAAAAGAAACATTTTAAATGTACTTTTTGGACTATGTATGTATGGTTGACAAATGGTCTGACACTAAGAATATCCCATTCATTATGGTAATATATACTGGATGAACAATACAAACTGGCCACAAGATATCTGGCAAGTTTTGGCTAACTTTAATGGTAGCCCAGCCAGCAACACATTCACATTTCCTGCACGCCTCTGCCACTTCATTTGGCTACTGGGAGCAAAGTGAAATACACTGCACTTCCAGATACAAGAGAGAATGTGAAACCTCCCTCCCACATTACAGCATTGGTGTTTGGCAATGGCTGTTGAGGCTGGTTTCACAGTCACATTGGGGAAGGGAAAATCCTAAAGCTCCAAGCTTCAGATAGCTCTCCTTCACAACTGGTGTGAAAGCAGATCAATAAGGGAGTGGATCAATAAGGGAGTGAATGAAAGGTAGCCAAGGCTGGGCACACACCTTACAACCATCGCAAGACTTTTGTCTTGCGATGGTTGTAAGGTAATTAAAAAAACGTACGATCTGCCTATCTTGGATAGGCAGATCGTACTTGCGATGATCGCAAGCCCGCCCCGCTGAGGGGCGGGCTTCCGATGACCGTAATGGCGAATGGGCAATGTGCACTTACGCACACCGGCCCGTCTGGCTTTTATCTTACGAACATGCCACACTCCCGCCGAAAATCGTACGATTCTCGGCGGGTTTTCGAACATGTTCGTAAGATAAAAGTCGTGCGACCTTACAGTAGTAGAGGGCGCAAGGCTTCCACACACCTTGCAATAATCGTACGATCGCGGGATTTCCCGCGATTATCATACGATTATCGCAAGGTGTGTGGGCACCTTAAGGCAGGCATGTGCCGATAAACAGAGAGCAGTTAAATGAACCTGTTCCTTTTCCCTGAAATAGCCAATCACAGGTTATCTTTAACCTGCATTCACACCAGAGCGACATGAAATATGTGCTTTTGCAGTGCGTTTTGTACAGCAGTTTTTTTGCATGTTGTGCATATTGAGCAGATTCTGGAACATGGATGTAAATGGAGAAATGCACGTTTAACGCGTGCAGAAATATTGCCAAAAAGAAGCTCGTGTACTTTCTTCAAGCGACATAACACTTAGATGTGAAAATTGGGGGGGGGGGCTTTTTTGGGGGGAAAGCACTTCAAAACGCTCAGTGTGAATGAGGGCTTAAAATGTATCTTTCCTTTAGGTACTTTTTAATATGCCCCACTCACCTTGATTGGTCGAGGAATGTCTGGCTGCTTCCATCTTAAAACAATCTGACCAGCCACGGTAACCCCATAAAACAGGTAATTGATGAAACCCACATAATTGATCAGAGTATACATGTCACTGGTTACCAGCATCAGCAGAGTAGAAAGGCACTGCGAGAGAAAATGATTATTAGTAAAACCTATTGCAACCTATGATCTGTACAGCAATGGGCAAGAAAAGGACAAGAAGAGGTGTGGAGGCCAACAGGAAGGGCAGATGTTATGCAAGCAACAGTAGTTCAAGGGATTACCGTAAAAAGCAGTGCTGGGATTGGAGTGCACCGTTTAATGTGGATCATGGCCAAAACACTTGGGAGATGACCTTCTCTTGCACCCGCAAAAAACAGCCTGTGAAAACAACAGGTTTGTTTGAGTTAATGCAAGCATGAGATTGCAGCATGTTCAAACACAGCAATTATACTTTAATCAAAGCATGAAAGCACCACTGAAAACAAAATCATAGTTACAGGACCTATACATGGCTTTGCGTGTGCTTCACATAAAACACGGGGCGTCATTAGATTTGCAGAAACACACCATACAAAATAATGTTAAGTATGACCTTTCTGAGCCAGTTTATGACAACAGCCTGGCTCACCCTCATCACCTGCCGTCTAAAATATGCTCTTGCTGCCTTCAAGATTAAGCTTATAATGGAATGTCTGTTACATTTTTTTTTAGTTTTGGACAGAATGAGAAAGATAAAAATATCTATTATTTTTTTTGCATTGTAGCCTGCAAAGCATTGCAACCGCGATCAGTGGATCCCGGGTGCAATACACAGCTGCCTGCACACGATTGCCTCAGCCCCAGGACTGTACGCCTTTGGTATGGGGCTTGATGACATTATCAATGGACTACAAGTGTGGTGAGGTCACTGCACTTGTATTCCATTGACACAACTTTCTCTGTCACAATGGCAGAAGCCTGCAGGGAGAAGAACTCCACTATTCAGGTGTGTGGAGAGGCAGGCTGAGGGTGTGGTGTAACATGGAAGTAAAGGTGGAATTAGCCTAAAGGTGCTCATACACTGTTTGAATTTCAGCTGGTTTTTGAGGAACCGGACAAAATTCGCAGTGTGCCGTTATTGGCACCCTTTCGATCGGCTGAAGGAGCCGGACGGAAAATCATCAATCAGACCTTACAGCCAATGAGCTGCCTGCTCTGGTTGGGTATTCCGACAGGTCCCATCAGCATCTCTCAGAATACAGCAGGATTCTTTGATCGACGCGCTGTTAGGCCCCGTTCACACCAGGGCGGTAAGGTCGCGTGGATTTGTCCGCGCTGAACCGCCCACATGAACGATCCTATACATTCCTATGGGGACTGTTCATGCGATCGCGCCTCTTCTCGCAATCCGAACTGCCTGCCGCCCGAAATGCTTCCGGAGCTATTTTTTATTTTATTTTGATCAGCGTGGATTCTATATAGAATTTAATGGAAACACGCTGATCAGCGCGTTTTTATTGCGTTTCAGCGCCGAAACGCGATTAAAACCGCCCAAAACTGCCCTTTTAAAATTTGCACGGAAACCGCGCTGAAACGCATCCGCTCTGGTATGAATCGGGCCCCAATGTTAATAGAGTAATGGGGTCTATTTTATTTGTTCAGCCTGTGGGTTGAACAAAAAAAAATAGATCAGGGTATGGCCAGCTTTAGCTTCTGTCAAGTTCCAATGACAGTCCTTTTCCCTATTTGAGAGATTTCAACAGTGAAGGCTGTTACCCAGACAGGATTAGAACCCTTGTTTAAGGACTGCATAGCAGAAGTGAATTATCTTATGCGTAATGATGGAGCTCTCTGCCAGCTTTTCTGATGCCCATTCGGCGTTTACAGCCATATGGTGAGTATGGATGGAGTTTCTGGATTAGCCCCGGTTATACACCTACTACCACCATCCTGGCTGGGTTCTCTTTTTCAGCGTTTATTTTTTCCGCTCTTCTTGTCCTCTCTATTCTTTCTTGGTCTTGTTTTCTTTTCAGCTTTCATTTTCACTTTTCTCTCTTTAGTGGCACTCTGATAGATGTATTATCAGCAATGTGCAGACCACTGGGGTGCCATCATGTGATTAGCTCCACTGAGTGGACTACTGGTGTCACCACACTATTACTGCTGAGATGTTTAGACATTTCCTGTGTCATGTTTTGGTGTAGATCTAGGAATCCTGCAAAATGTTTTCTTCATTGCAGTTCTGGAGTTTGCATCCACCCCTACCCGAGTCTGTGCTCGAGCCACCAGAGGGTCCTCTATTGCTACTGCTTAGGTTATCTCTAAGCCTGATGAAGGGGACCCTGCGAGGCCCCGAAAGCGCTTGCCAATGAGATACAGCTATTGGCAATAAAATATTTTGCTTTGTTATGGTGTGCTGGTGACATTTTTCTATTGCTACTGCTGTCTCCATTGAATGTCTTTTTGCTCTTTTATACTTTTGCATTTTCTACTTTGCGATTGTGTTTGTACCACCCCGTTTTTTTTTAAAAGAATACGTTTTGATCAAATTTTAAACAAACACATTTATTGAGAAGGGTTCATCACCTCTCTTAATTTTGTATTGTTGTCTGTATCCCCACCAGGGAGATTTCCCTTTGTTCCTTGTACTGACAGTGTCATTGGGTTAGTAAGTGGAAATCTCCTTGCCACATATATTCACTTATATGAATGTGGCACTAAGATATTGTCATTTATCACCAACAGGGTTAGTCACAAAATGGTGAAGAGTTTGGAGAAGGCAGGAGAAGTGATCTAGGACAACATAGCGGATTTGGAAAAATTCTCCAATGCAGCTCACTTTCCAGTTCAGCGATGTTGTCCTAGATTGTTCACTTCTCTTGCCTTCTCCAAACTCTTCACCCTTTTGTGAATAACACTGTTTGCTTGATGAAGGAACCGGGTATGGTCCCAAAACATTGCTACACACTGTGATATGACCTTTTGATGTCAATAAAGAGGAATTGTATAACCCTACACCCCGGCAACTGTAACATCTATGGCCTCTTACCTGGAAGAAGTAAACAGAGATCCATTGACTCCCCCAAATGTGGACAAAGCCACAGATATTGGCATGATCCAAGCCATTACACCTAACAGCTTCTCCCCAAATGTCTGGAAAAAATAGAGATCAAGGTTAATGGTGTATTTGAAATTCATAAAGACACATACAAGTGAATAACAAATAGAATACTAGAAGGCTGCTGAACTAAGGAGGATACAGTTTGTATAACGAATATCAAAATGAGAAATGTCTTTCCCATACTACAAAAATCGGACAGATACTCACCACTGCTACTGCATTGGAAGCCAGTAGCTCCTGTGGGGACATGGCTGTGACATAGGCAATGTTTGCAAAAACGTATACAAAGGTGACAAGTGGGATAGATATGAAGATGGCACGTGGGAGATTCCTGTTAAAAGACACAATCATTAACGGAGTTTTGCCACTAGAGGGAGACATGGATACATCTATGGATGGTGAAGCAAGTGGAGAGAAAAACAAACCAGTGAGCACTTGTATTTCATGTATTTGGTAACTAAAAATATTGGCCGGATGTACATCTGTGACTCAAGATGAAGGCATGGCTATGATATGATTTTTTGGTGTCCTCAGTTTTTGTTAGAACATAAAACTCTGACACAAATGTGTTATGAGTTTGATTAGTCTATAAAAATAATTGACAATGCAACAACCCTAGCCGCCTGCTAAATATTTACAGTGAACATGTGGCCAGGCTAGCAATTCATCCTCCGATCCCAGAAGAAAGACTAAAGTAATTTTCTAAGCCACCTCACTCTGCTCCCCCTCCCGGCAGTAATTACCAAAAGCGTTCCAGCTTTCTAATCTTCAACAGGTGCTCTGAGAAGGGGGAAGAAGCGGGAGCTGAGCTACTGAGAGAATCATTTACATTGACTTCACTGTCCATATTGTGAACCTTGAGGAAGAATTACTCCACAGTACCTGCAGCTAAAGATGTCAGTGGAGGATGGTATAAAAGCTCCTTTACTGCTTGTTATGATTATGTAAACACTTGCTGATCCTTAAAATGGACATTCAGCAAAAATTGTGCAAAACTGATTTCCCCTTTGGTGACATGTCAGGGTATTTTCCCCCCACTGACTCTAATGCATTTTGCTGAAAATGTACTGAGCATACTTCTTGTGCAAAACTAAGACTTATCCTTAGGTGAAATTTTGGGGAAATGCATTGGAGTTGGTTGCAGGTGAAATGTTGCCATCCATCCTTAGCCTGGCCACACGTTCACTTTAATACAGTAACATTTACCAGTGAGCATGGCAAAAAATACTAATGCAAGAGCATTAGAAATGAGGGATAATGAGTGCTTCAGTGTGGCAAAACTCTGTCGTCAAAGATTTCCCAGAATACTGGAAAATCCGGCAACAGTTTAAAGAACTACTCGGATCTGATGGTAAAGAATATTCCTTGATAATGTAGAGCTAGCTGTTAAAATGAATAAATCAAACAAATTCATGAGTGGACGTCATTTTCTTTTTAGTGGGAGAGAAGATGCTATGGGGATACACATCTCCCTGTCCAACTCTTAGCAACCTGGGATGCTCTGGCCGGTGTCCTACCCAGCTCCTGGCAACCAGTCACATCGCTGGTAGCCAGGATCTGGACAGGACACTGGCCAGGGTGGTGGCGTCACTCCTGCATGCCCGGATGCCAGCGTCACTCTCCACCAGCATCCCCCCACCCCACTGAGTGTGTGCACCACCAGAACCCCACCTCATGGCCTCGGGAGGGAAAAAGGATCAAGGCACCCCAACTTATGCAGTCCAGTGCCTGAAAACCCAGAAAGTGTTGTGTCTGTGCCCTCTCCTTTCCACTGCATTATGATAGCACAGCTTAAACCTTTCCAGTCCCTGTTTAAAACTATTACTACTTATAACATAATTGAATTATAATTTGCATATAGTACAGCACTTAAGAACCAGCAGCGGGCTAGGGTTTCTGTCAATCACTTACAGGTGAAACTCAAATAATTAGAATATCATGCAAAAGTAATTTCAGTAAGTGCTGCAAAAGGGGCCCAAACCAAGTACTGAGTACATATGCATGCTTGTACTTTTCAGAGGTCCGATATTGTTCTATATACAATCCTTGTTTTATTGATTGCATGTAATAATCTACTTTTTTGAGGTTGTGGATTTGGGGTTCTTGGGGTTTTCATGAGCTATAAGCCATAATCATCACAATTATGACAAATCACGGCTTGAATTATCTTGCTTTGCATGTAATGAGTCTATCTCATATATTAGTTTCACCTTTTAAGTTGCATTAGTGAAATAAATTAACTTTGCACGAAATTCTAATTATTCGAGTTTCACCTGTATATGGTGGGTATATCCGTTATGGTCAGTTGAAAAGTAAGGTAAAGAGATCTGTCGGGGTAAAACTAGTCATACATATTCCACTGCTGTAGCCATTGTTAACATAAAGATGCAAAGTGATGAAACGCTTAAAAGGAGATTTATGGGGAGAGTAGATTACACTCATTCCCATAATTAGAGCCAACGTGCGACACTGAAACTGTCACGGGTCAGCTCCATTGATCGGGAACTGAACAATTACATACCAGTGACCACTCAGTTCCCAATCATCTCCCTGCAGAGAGCGGTGACTGTCAGGTCTCAGCTCACCACAGGAATCCCCTCCCTCCGTTCTTCCAGCACTGTCTGGAGGGATGGACAGGGGAAGTGCACAGCTGGCTCTAGCTCTAGAGAGGCAGTGCCAGCTGTCAATCAGCCAGCTTGGTTGATCCCAACAAGTGTCGGGATCTGTCCTAGCTGCAGCGCACCTCTGTGCTGTCAGCATACAATGGCCAATAGCCTGCTATATGCTGAGTTTTGTCCTCCTGTGACCCTAAAGAGAACTATGGCAAAAAAAAGGTTGGGCCATAGTTCTCTTTAAAGGGCATCAGTTTGTGTTCTTAAAGGATAACTGATACAAAAGGGATTGTTTAGACACACCAATCACTCAGACTTCGATATCGGCTTTCATTATGTTAGCTATAAAGTGTAAAATCTTACAAACAGCAGGCAGTGAGGGATCTTCCCACACTCTTATAATAAATGCTACAGAGACTTCATTGCACTTTTTTATACTGACCATTAGCTATGGAGGGGAAGCTCTCTAACCTATAACCTAACTATGAGCTGGGTGGAAAATTTATTCATCAGCCTCCAAGTATATAGACAGCTTAACCGAACTGTTAAAACCAATCTGATTGTCTAATGAGGGTAAAACACATCATTGCTCCTTGCCTCTCATGTCTAAAGAAGCCTTAACCTGGCCATACACCTATAGATTATCTGCAGCTTTTCTATGGTTAGATGGAGAAAGTGCAACAGATTCCTCCATCTACGCTAAGCTGTGTGGATGGAGGAATCTCCCACTGGACCAAGCTTCAGTATTTTGCTAGTCGGCCCTGCTGGCTCTCAAAATACCTGAACAATCTGATTGGATGCAGGCAATCCAATCTGTTGCACGTTTTCCATCTGCCATAGAAAATCTGCAGAAAATCTATAGGTGAATGGCCAGCTTAAGAGTGAAGAAGTGACATTAGCCTCTGGCATGGCACAAAGATAGTTTTCGGTTATCATACTTATCAAACTAGGAGTTTCCCTTGCATACTAGCCACTGCACTTTATTTTGCTTTTTATTAATACCACCAACAAAATGTTTTTTCCCACCAAATACTGAATTGGCAATTTAACGTCTTTTCAGTGCTGTAATGCAAAAAAATTGTGTCTGCGTAAGACTGTTCTATATTAGGAATCAGTGTGTTGCAACACGCCAATGAAAAAATGTTGACAGCTAGTATATTGTATGAAGACTGTCGCTATAGCTTTTGCTGTAATAACAGTAAAATAATGGTATAGTATAATAGTTTTTTCATGCTGCGTTTATATTAAAGGAAAAACAAATATGTTGGTCATTGGATAACACCTGTATTACCATCACATTTTATTTCCATCCTGATATATTTATAAAAAGCATCAGCCAACAGGTCCTTGTAAAAAAAGCATACGTACTGGTAGGGATTCACCAGCTCTTCTGTGACATAGTTCAGAAAGTTCCAGCCACCGTAAGCAAATGATCCCTGTAGAAATGCTAAGGCAATGAGACCAATGTCTGGCTCCTGGAAATTCTCAAAGGCATTCTTAGGCTCCAGCCAAAAATACTCCCCTAGGAGAGAAAGAGCAGCATTATGAGAGACAATGGATAACATACAGAGGAATATGAACATCTTAATAATAATAATAGAATGGGGGGAATTGGTCAAAACTGGAGCAGACAAAATCTGAAGCAGTTGCCCATAGTAACCAATCAGCATCTCTTTAGTTTGTTCAGTTAAGCTTTGAAAATTAAAAATAGAAGCCGATTGGTTGCTGTGCACAGCTGCTCCAGATTTTTTCTGCTCCAGTTTTGATAAATTCCCCTCAATGCATCTTTATATTAAACTCCTTTTCCACTAAATAACTCCTTATAATGTCTTTCCACACGCAATCCCGCATCACATATTGCATGTTGTACTATTAGGTGTGTTATTTCTTAATGGCAACCCAAATGGCTTAGCTAACGCATGTGCGTTGCATTGCACCACAACACGTGGTAACCTATTAGTTAGGCTGCCCTTCTGCCATGCACCCTTCAGTTTACTGGCCATGTTGCATTATAGTGATGTGAGCAGTGACTAAAAGGACAAAAAACACAAAAAAATTACAATTTTGTCTTGAAAGAAAATTTGAGTTGAGCAACATTGGGACTGATTATTCACCTTTCCTGAAAATGATAGTTGCCTGGCAGTCAAACTGACACGTTGGCTTCAACGGGGTTTTTTTTTTTTTATTATGTTATTGACCCAAAAGTAGGAGTTTCTGATTTAAATGTGATTTAATTTGCTTGTTCCAGATAACTTGCTTAAAAAAAATAAATAATCCAGGTGACTAGCATTGGCAAATGTTCATGTTGCTGTTAGTACGGGTTTCCTTGAACCCTAATTCTTAGATCGTCAGAGCCATTAAGATTTTTGAAAGGACTGCCCTAACTATATGCTTGGCATTGACACCAGAAAAGAACATCATTTTCTAAAATCCTTAGCTACATGCGATTCTGCAGGTGCACCAGTTCTGCCTATATCAGCAATGTTCTAATCATACACATCAAAAGATGGCAGAATGTGTGTCCCCGGATCATAGTGCCATTTATACTCATGGACAACATCTAGAAGCAGGTCACTGCTGGAGTTATGCTTGTAAACACCTTTAAGCTGGCTACACACTGAGTGAATTCCTGAGCGTCCTTGATGAACCGGCCCAAATTCACCAAGACAGGTCTGCTGACTCTCGCCCGACATCCTTTGACTCGGGCTGGAACTAATGATTATTTTCACAATGGATTAGTTGGGCGATTATTTGGATTAAAAATGAAATACCATCCTTAAATTTAAACTAAAATACACAAATAGTGTTACAAAGTTTATTTCAGAATAAAACAGCATGCACAATTTTTTGGAATCGCTGCACTGGAACACACGGCATTGTGGTACTGTGCGTTTCAATGAGGGCGATTGCACTGTGGGTGGGAGGTGAGTTTGAGGCGACATTGAAATGAATGGCACTGCAACGCACCTCCCACAGCAGAATTTGCCAGGCCAAACCTGAAAATTATGTTTCTCCTACCTTTTATAGATTTAAAAAAAAAATAATTGTATTGTAAGTACATGGCGCTTCAACAGCTTCACCCGGGGAATGACAGCTGCCAGTGGCAAGATTCCGCAGACGGCAGCTGAACGTAAATACAGCAGGTAGTGGGCTGGTGCAATAGGCAGCCTGCTACTGGTCATTTCAAATTGCAATAGCCAATAGCAGGCTGGCTATTGCACCCACCCACTGCTTGCTGTGCCCTCCTCCCAGCGTGGAGGAGAGAGCTCGGGCATCCAATCAAATAATCGATCATGAGAACAGTTGACAACTATTCTCATGATCGATTAATCGATTAGTTGACCCCCCAAAAAAATCAAAGGAGCTGGGCAGAAATTTGCTGGCCAAACAGTGCGTGCATCCAATCCGATGCAGGAGCTGTTCAGCTATTTCGACAGGCAACTGGGCCAACTGCCAAAATACAATAGCTGCAGCAGGAGATTCCTATATCAGTGTTTAGCATCGATGAGGTCACATGTAAAATGAAAAAAGAAAAAAAAATTCTACAAGAGTTCAAACATAAATAAGTCATCATATTACTGGGCTTTAACATAGTCTATGTAAAATAAAATGCTTTGATATACACAACGCACATACCTTTGCAGATCTGCACTATTCCCATGATTATGATCAAGCCTAATGCCAGCAGCTTTCCAGCTGTAAATATATCTTGAACACGAGTGGCCCATCGCACACTGGAACAGTTTATCCAGGTAAGCAGCACTAAAAGGAAAAACAAAACAATTGTTAGCGTTACGTTCAATGCATACTAGTATATAGGCCAACCAGGATTCAGTTCTAATATGCTACAGAAAGAGGGAGTTATCTTCCAACACACTTAGCTAGGGAGTTAGAAGAGCTCTATAGTCATTTTCTTATTTTTGAGATAAATGCGTGAGCATACACAGGCTGCGATTCCTGCTTGGTAATGCTGCATATAGTTTGTGCAAGTCTATCAGCCAGGTCCGACTGATTAAAAACAAAAACAAAATAAAGACAAATCACCAAGTATCAATTTTCTTCACTGACAATAAATGTAATCCTAAATCTTCCTTGCCTTGGGTGGAGCCTGTGACTTCCTCCAATGTACACATATAGATACCCTATAGTGGGTCTGTATGACGCATGGTGGCTCATTTGTGAGCGGATATTGCTATCTGCTCTCCATTAAGCTTCGCTTTGCTATGCATACCTCGGCCTGCACATTTATAAAAATTGGGCTGCAGTGTGTAACTAGGGAAGTCCCACAGTGTTTCTTCTGCTTATTAGACCAGATACATTTTAGTGATTGGAGGTCACATGACCAGGCACTTTTTTTTTCTTCTTTTAACGTTTCCATTTAATTTTATAGCACATATTTATAAAGCACAGTGATGTGTGCCATAAAACTGAATGGAAACAAACAGTTTGAACCATACTGCTGCTTTTAAAATGCCCCATGAAACGCACATTTGCCAGTGCACCATTATATGAGAGTGCACATATGGTTTTTATTTTAATCCCCTTAAAAGTTTAAGAGGGAGTTTTTACCTGTTCTAATGGCCTCTTTTCAAAAGAGGTCTTGGAATAGGTGAGCTCTTGTCCAATCATTCGGGTTAAAGTGCACTGTAGGAGACCATTAATCATACTATAGAGATTAGGACAAATGCCTTCATTTAAGGACTTTTTTTCACGAATGAAGTATTGCAATATATGTATAATAGCACTTGCAGACATTTATTATTTTATTTAATTTATATCTTTATTGTTACACAGTAGTAAAACATATTGGAGGGGAATGTATCTAAACCTGAGGAAACAAAATCTGGAGTAGCTGTGCACAGCAACCAATCAGCACCCACCTTTTATTTTCAAACTTTAACTGAACAAACTGAGGAGAGAAGCTGATAGGTTGCCATAGGCAACTGCTCCAGATTTTTCTGCTCCACTTTTGATAAATTCCCCCCACTGAGTAATTTTTAATTGTCAGGGTTTGGGTTGCAATGCCTGTAGTTGGTGGAATTATGGAAATTGTGGAACAAGAAATAACAGATGTGGATAGAACATCAAAATCCGGTAAGCTCTCACAAAATACATATTATTTTCCTTTAAAATGGTTCCTTTTTTAGTAGAGTTTGGATGTACAGTTTTAAAATTAGAGACCAGTAAACCTGTTACACCATTGTGAAGTAATAACAGAATGGCTGCCAATAACTGCCACCTCTAATGTCCGGTGACTTGAGTACTATAAGCCATGCAGCCTATAATAATGCAGTCTGCATTACTCACTGTGCATTGCAGTATTTTAATATGCAATGCAAAGCAGTTTTATCAGATAGATGCAAACTGCCCTCCCTGTAGGAACGTATTTACCTACAATGCTTTCCGACATACAGAGAGAATGTCTATGAAGATTTCCAGAAACATGCTGCGCTGTGTGATGGAACACAGCATTGATCTAAATAAATTCAGCTGGGCCCTGTGACAACCCATTTCTAATACCTAATACATAGCTACACATGAACTATTCCTGCTTAGATTATACATCCCTAATGCTTCCTAATCAGCTGCAAAGAGGTGGCACCTCTCCATCTCACTAATCGGCTATGGCCTCTTTCCAGCATTCAAGTCAGTACAGCTCAGAAACGCCATGTATGACGCTAGGGGATTTTCATGACAAAATCAACAAGATCACTTCCTAAATATCAAGTCTGTACATGACACAGGAGGTACCCAATTGTGGTATAAAACTCTTCTCTCATGCCTACACCCAATACTGTTTCCCTGACGCATGAAGATAATGGTGTCTGCCCAAAGACTGAATGCAGATAACCAGTACAGCCTGACCTGGAATAGCACAGACTGCGATAACATGTATGATGGGTGTGTGGAAAACACTATGTAGAGGTGCATGATAAACAGGGCTGGGGAGGCAACTGCTCATCCCATCCCCCATCATCTATGTACACACACACACACACAGCTTTACTGAATACAGGAGACATCCTGTTATTTATTGCCCAAACACCCACGGCTTCTATACGGCTTAATCCCACACTGATTTTTCTCTTCATGTACGCACAATGTACTCAGATTTTTTTGTATTTCTTCAAATGTATAGCTACAGCCAACAGGTTTATCTAAGCTAAAACATGTAGTACAAATGGACTTATTGTATGTGTTAGAATGGTATGCAGCTCTTAAAAAGGAAAACTACTATTAAAACATGTTCAGATTGAGCATTTGTCAACACATATCGGTGCTTGCACACATCATCGTTTGAAACCTTCTTCAGGTTTTATCATCCTTCCCCCCCCTCCACCCCATCCCAGCAAGCAAGCAATGACATAACTTAAACAGAGCATACACTGGTAGATTTTCATATAAAATATCTAATTTGAACCTTCCATAATGCTATCAGAGACTTGACTGCAGTTTAAAATTTTGTTCAATTTTAACATTGGACTTTGGAATGAAGTTTCCCGAACAAAAACAAAAAAAACCCCACACATTCATTGTATAAATTTCATGTGTCCGAGAAACATTTTCCATACTGCTCCTTCTATTTTCGTCACTACAGCTGAAAACAAAAGATCAATTGATATGACCCCATTCGCTACCAATTGATATGACCCCATTCGCTACCAATTGATATGACCCCATTCGCTACCAATTGATATGACCCCATTCGCTACCAATTTGAACAAACATTCCGAAAACTAATTTTGTTAAACAAAAATTGTAACCCTGTATACCCAGCTTCACTCTACTGCTCCTCGCTGCTGCCCTCAAATAAGCCAGTATGTTTATGAACTACGATGAAAGCTACCGGATGCTTGGGTATCCAGCTGACCTTTAGACAAGCTGCACACCCAAGCTGGTCTACAAGCAGTTTATAAAACTGAGAGCCATTTGGACAATACATACTAAGTATTACAGTAGGTCAGCTCTTTAAAAATGTAGTTCACCTAAGGATTATTATAAGAAGCAGATTATTCCTACAATTAAATTTTTCACCGCACAAAGCTACATTTATGCATGATTTCCTTCCTTTCATATATGAAATCCGGTTTAACCAAAACTACTCAGTGACTGGACTCTTATAGCATGGTGGCTTAGTGGGTGGCCCTTTAGCCTTACAGACCTGAGATGCAGGACCTCAGTGAGGCTGGTATACAGGTCATAGTGTACGTAAAGGCAACACCTTTTTTTAGTTTTAGGTAGAGTAGGTATCTATGTACCATTGGGACAATAACCCTTTACTTTCTGTCCTAGAGACGCAACAGGAAATTAGAGGAACGCTCCCCCCACCGATAAGGAGAATTCCCCTCTTATACAGATGTCCCCGAAACAGGTATGCCCATTGGGACAACCTGAATTTGTCTTCACTTCATTTCTTAGTGACATGGTCACCAGTGCAAATAGAGAGGGGACTCTCCCCTTTGAAGACACCAACAGCAATAAAAACTTGAGGGTCAAACTTTCTCACTTAAACTAAAAAATAAAATAAAAAAATGTTTTGCCTAGAGATACACTTTAAAAGGCAATTTGAGTGTAAGCTGAGGCAACTCTTGTACACTTTTGGATGCTGAATAAAACCCATGTAAATCACAAGCAGAACATATATTCTCTATATTGATAAGGTCTTAGTGAGATTTAAGTCCAGGACCCAGTTGATGACTAGCATGATTGCCAATCACTAAACCACAGCACTGCCTGCTTTTTCATGTGTTGAATGCATTAAGCCCTAAGCCCATTCTGGTCTGTTATATGTATAAGTCAGTCTGAATTTTACTTCCCATCCTAAGTCATGTCTAAACACCGCATTGTGTTACTCAACCCTATAATTAAAGCATAAGTGCAACAAATCAAGGCAGTGTTTGGAAAAAACATGATGCACCAATTCATGATAGTGAGCATAGACCTCCAGATGGGATAGGTGGCTCAGCTTGAACATACCATAGCTGCTTTTTTTTTATTTTTACTGCAACAAGTAAATGGGTAAAAAAATACTATTATATTTGTATATACAGTATAAGAGTAACCGTTTTTTATTAGACTAAGATTGTGTGAATAAAATTTCTTTATTTCCCTGATTATACCGTTCATTAATTTAATAAATAGAGCTCCCAGAGATATATTTAACTTGATAGAAAGCCAAAGTGTCCAAAGAACAGTTCAGGGAAGTGTGCCCTCAACCTGTTCCAAGCAAGGTGCTATGGGCTTCAGGGGCAGGGTTTGTATGTTTGGCCAGGCACCCAAGAGTACCTTCACTTCAATCACACAATCACCTTACAACAATGGATATCTTTGAAGGGTCAGTCCATCCAAAGTTGAATCAACCAAAATTTGAGCAGTGTGTGGCCCCCCCTCAGACCCCTCTTTTTTCAGCCAAATTTTGGCAAAAGATCCAGACTGGCTGCAGTCATGGTTCAAGCGGGAATCTTCAAAACAGCCAATATGGTGTGAATGAGCTCTGGTAATGAGTAAACGAAGCAAATTTCAGCCGGTACAGCAGGAATTGGTTAAAATTCAGTCCATTGGTGGCCATATCCCCTCCACACTAAATTGACTTTTACTGAAGGCACATGCTGGAAAATCATTGGCCGAATAGTCCTTGCAGCCAATTAGCTGCAAGCACTGTTAAGGTATTCTGACAGCAGCCTCCACTGCCATCAGAATATAATGAACACAGTGGGAGATTTGTTCAGCCACACTGTTAGCATGGATGGAGGAATCGGTCG